GCCGCTCTCCTCTGATGACCACAGTTTGCCTACTGATCCTCCATGATACCTCGCTCCCTGCCCCCTCCTCTCCGGCCCCGCCCCCCCCCCGCCTCTCTGAAGCCGCTGATTGGACGATGATCACGTCAATCTGTCCTGATCGGCCATAATCCGCGAGCTAGGCGGTAAAATCCTAAAAGCTATTGACAGCCTGTGAGATCTTTGTGGGAGCTGTAGTTCTCAAATATCATCCAAATTAATAATAATTACTTCTTCAAAACTAGAAATGATCTCATTGAAATGTAAACTTCACCAGCAGAGACAAAACACTTAAGCAAAATGAATTAAAGAGGGTGGCTGTGGCACAGTTCGTAGAGTTGTAGCCTCCCAACCAGAAGGTCAAGGGTTCAATTCCCAGCTGAGCAACATGTCCGATGTGTCCTTGGTCAATACACTTAACCCTGCCTCAGCATCAGTGTATGAATGGATTAGTGATGTACTTACTCTCTGATGTGCATCACCTTGGATGAAAGAATCTGCTGAGTGAATTGTAGGATGGTGACCCCAGTACCCTAACCCTTAAGGACAGAGGAAGACCTCTGACCCTGAGGACAGAGGAAGACCTCTGACCCTGAGGACAGAGAAAGACCCTGAGTGAAGTGTGACACTTGTCTTCAGAGTTTGTGCTCTTGTTGTTTGTGACCTTTAACTGACTGAAGAGATTTATTATCAGAGATTAGAAAGTATCTCTTTGAAGTCTTCATGTGGTTCAGTGTGATGAAGAGAGGCTGAGACCTGATCCACATGGTGGTTCAGGGGGCTAAGGTCTGACCCTCATCAAAGACCATTCAGGTTTCTATGATTCACCCTCAGATGTTTCATTATAAATAAATAAATGAGTAGAAAAGTGTGAGAGAAAAGAGTTTCAAACACATCGTCCGACTCGTTGTGATGTCATCACGTCCTCGTTTGTGATCCAGAGAAACAGACTAAAGAAGGACTTGATCCCGGCTCAGCTGAGCTCCAATAACTGATGTTCATTAATAAGTCTAATTTCAGAACCACTTCAACATCAATCATAAGAGTTTAAACACACTCAGCTCGACACCTGAATGCCTCACGCTGCGTTCAGGTGTCAAAGAAAGGATTGAAACATGACAGAAGTTGTTATTGAAAAAAGAACGAGTGTTTATATTTCAGATGCAGGCAGCCATCATTATCTTCATCATCTTCATCATAATCATCATCATCATCACGGTGAAGCATTCAGGTACAGTTACAAAAATACAACTTTCTATATACATCAAAAAAAGGTTGGCTTTGCTGAGCTTATAAAAAGAACGTTCCCACTGAGCACTCAATAAGTGATGATCACCTGAAGGAGGCGGGGCAACAAACACACCTGAGCACCATGTTGATGATGCCTTCAGGTGTCTGAACCAGCAGCATGTCAGGGTGCGCACACACACACACACACACACACACACACACACACACACACACACACACACACACACACACACACACACACACACACACACACACACACACACACACACACACACACACACACACACACACACACACACAGCCACACACACACACACACACACACACACACACACACACACACACACACACACACACACACACACACACACACACACACACACACACACACACACACACACACACACACCTGTACATTGTGGTCTTGAGGATTATGAACAGGTGTAAGAGACCGGGTGTCCGAGTGTTTTCACAGACGTCACATGACTCTTCTCTTGAACTGATAGTGAGACACAAACATGATGACTCGGGGATGTAGGGTGATGAAGTCCATCAACAGGATCTAAACGTGTTTGACCACTTAAAGACCAGAACGTTTCTACATTCCCTTTGCTTCAGCGTCTAAAACAGGATGATGTCACGTCTGAAGAAATCGTGGAACAACACGTGGTTCAAAGAAAGAAAAAGGCAGAGTCTCCAGGTCGGGAACTTTTGGTGTTTTCAAACGTTGTCCTAAACGTGGGGACTGAAGGCGTGAAGGTTTAGAGATGAACTGATAAAAGAGGAAGAACAGAGGCTGCTTCAGGGGGGACGTTAAGGTCTTAAAGGTATTCTCAGGTCTCTCACAGTGGAATGCTCATATGGTTCTGTTACACGGACCACCAGCTGTTTCTGGGGGTTCAAATGGTGCATGAAAGAAGTCCTCCGTCAGGTTAGGCCTGTCAGGGTCAGTCCCTCTGCGTTCTCCCTTTGGGGATCTGGTTCTGGTTCTGGTCTGAAGAGTCTTAGTCCTCTCCTCTGAAGCAGTGGGATGGATTCATGTAGGGATTCTGCTTTTCTCTGTAAAAGGGTCCAACCATCCCCTGCTGTGATGTGTCTCTGACTCCGCCCCCCCCTCTGTTATGAGCTGACCTCTGTGGTCTCTCCGCCCGTCTCTACCAGCGTCACCTGCCCCTCCTCCCCCTCCATGATGATCCCTCCCTCCTGCAGCACCACCATCTCCCCCTCTTCCTCCACCATGCCGGCCCCCGCCTCCTCCTCATCCTCCTCTCCTCCTACCACTTCCTCTGGGCTGGCAGCGTTGGCGGCGGTGTTGTTGGCGGTGTTGTTGGCGTTGGCCTGACTCTGGGACATGGCCTCCAGTTTGATGCGGTACTCTTCAGCCTCCTGCTCCTTACGCATCAGTTGCTGCCGGTACTCCTGCGCCTTCCTGTTGGCCTCCAGCAGCTGCCTCTGCAACAACTCCTAAAGGAGGAGAAGAAGGTGAGATAACCACTCCAAGCTTTTCATCTGGACTACACCATGTCACCATAGTAACCAGGACTACACCATGTCACCATAGTAACCAGGACCAGGGGCGCCGCCAGGAACTTTGGGCCCCGTGAAAAGATATCACATTGGGCCCCTACCACGGCCCAAACTAACCCGGAAATGGATGACCGCACCTCCACAAATGACCCATAAAAACTTTCAACAACTATGCTTTGTTTTACACCCTGAAAATAGAGATAAATAAAGATAAATAATCACTGTAATATTTCCTCATAGTTTAAAAATCATTTAAACTTTGTAATGTTTGCACCTTTCAGACATCTGAAGCATTTCCAGCAGCATAATTTTACTTATTAACTATAGTTAATGTTCTAAAGGCTTTTATTGTCTAAAATGATCTTATTGGTTAGCTGATTGAATAAAACATTCTACTGGCATGAATGATATACCATGTCACCATAGTAACCAGGACTACACCATGTCACCATAGTAACCAGCTGCTTGGTGACATGGTGTAGCTGCTCACCGTCTCTCCACCGTCGTTGTGATTGTTAGTCATCTCCAGCTTCCTCTTCCTGGAGGGCGGAGCCTGCGGCTCCTCGGTCACCACCTCCTCTGTTACCGTGTTGGCCGGCACTGCCAGCACTGAAACACACACACAGATTGACCCTCAGACTGCTGCTGGGACTCAAGGCCACGTTCTACTGATCAGATGCTATGAGTGCGTCTTACTCTGCTGTCCGTGCTGCATGGTGACGAAAAAAGGTGGCGCCATCCCTCCTGTTGTTTGCAGGTTGCCATGTTGGTCTGTTACTATGGTGATAACCCTCTGACCGCCCTCGTTGACGACAGTATGCTGGATGTTGGAATCCAGAGCGCTGGCGGCCATCGCTTCCTCTGAGTCTCCTGAGACACATAAACACAACCATGACCCCGAGTACAGAGGGGGTCAGTGTGTGTGTGTGTGTGTGTGTGTGTACCTGCGCCCGCCTTGTTGAGCAGGTCAGCCAGGTTGACCACGCCCCCCTGGATGGCAGGGATCCCCTGGATGATAAATTGTGGCTGGTTGGTGGTGCCAGTCTCCATGTTCATACTCACCTGGTTCATGTTCACCTGGTTCTGCATGCCCTCCTACACACACACACACACACACACACACACACACACACACACACACACACACACACACACACACACACACACACACACACACACACACACACACACACACACACACACACACACACAATATTAAAAAAATAACTACAAGCCCTTTCCTTCCATACAGTGATCTCTAATGTAACTAAATGTCAGGCCCTGGTTCAGGTGTGCGCTGAGTGTTCTCACCTGCAGCAGCAGCATCAGCTCCGTGTTCTGGATGTCGACGGCGATGTCGAATGGCGTCTTGTCGAACTTACTGAGGGAGTGCACATCAGCGCCGTGTTTTATAAGAGTGTCTGCGACGCCTTGGTGACCGTGCTGTGCCGCCCAATGCAAAGCCGTCATCTTCAGCATGTCTTTGGCGTTGATGTCTGCTCCGCTCTGAGGTAAGAGACAGACGGTCATGTGACTGAAGGATCAAACAGTTAAACACATTAAACTGAATTTGAATCAGGTCTCACCCGGACCAGCAGCTCCACGATCACTGTGTGACCCTCAGCAGCAGCCATGTGCAGGGGGGTTCTGTCCACCTTGGTGCGGGCGTCTCTGCTGACGCCGGCTCTCAGCAGGACGTCTGCGGTGGAGTAGTGACCGTGCTGAGCGGCCAGGTGGAGCGGGGACGTCCCCAGCTGCAGGAAACACACAGACATGACGTCATGTTTTTAAAGAGATACTTCCCCCGTTGAAACATGAATCTGTGTCGACATCGGGTCAGAAATGTAGAAATGTAAAATACATTTTGAAGTTGGTGCGTTCTTGATCAAGAAAAGGCAGAAAGTGTCTTTTTGACTCGTGGATGAAAGACAACAACTCCCAGAATGCACCACAGGCCACTCCCACTGATCACTGAATACCGCCTACCAAGCTAAATTATTTCACACACGCGGTCTGGTGAGTTTCTCTGGGCAGTTAAGAGTTTCTGCATGAAGTGTTTGTGCGCTGAGAAGAAAAGCGCTGCATGTCCGCCCACTCAAGTTTAAAATCTTTCAACTTTTCAGAAAGGCGCTGTTGACGTCACGAGCGCGTTTTTCAAAATGTTTGATATCCCTGTATTATAGCGACCTACAGATTGTGTCTCGTACCCTCATCCTCCTCGCTCTACGTCTGATCGGGAAATAAAGTCAAATATAAAAGTGCAGTAAAAAGTAACGGAGCAGTGTCGCTCATACAGCGGCCGTTATCAACAGACTGTTGTCATGGAGACAGGACGGACGTGCAGCGCTTTTCTTCTCAGAGCACAAACGCTTCATGCAGAAACTCTCGAGCGCACAGCCGGCACTTTACCGCCCGGAGAAATCCCCAGGTGGACACGAGGCCTCCATTGGCAAATTCATTAATACCTCTGAAGAACTCTTCATTTGTTGTTATTTAGAAATGGTGAATTATTTCAGAATGTGTTTCAAAAATACTCTTCACTCTTTAACAACATCAAGTCATTTAAACTGAAGGTTGCATTCACTGTCTCACCCAGTCGGTGGTGAAAGGAGCTCCATTGGCCATCAGGTTTCTGACCTCATCGTCCTGACCTTTACGAGCCGCGTCTAGCAGACGCTTCCCCAGGTCCACCAGAGACATCTGAAAACAAACAGAAATGAACATTAGTGGTACACACTAACCCTGTTACAGTGTTATCTTTGTGAATAAAAGATGTGCAGACTTGAGACTGAAACTTCATGAGCTGGTGTCTTATTTTGAAGGAGTTTTAAATGTTAGTTTTATTATTGTACTTATTCTGGTTTCTTTTGTTACTTTAAGTTTCCAACAGGTGAACTGTACACTCAGGGAGAATGCTTTGTTGTAATATATATTTGAATGTGATAACATCACACTTTCTGAGGTGTCTATTGTGAAGGCTCATAAATTTAAATGATGGTCTGTTTCGTGGGATCTTCTGACTGTATTCATATTTAAGGATGAATTCATGTCTATTTAGAGATGAGTTAATACAAACCAGGAGACATGAAGACAGCAATCGTCAATAAGAACACACACACACACACACACACACACACACACACTTATAAAAGCAGTGTGTATGTATACCTTTGATTCATCACTTTCCCACACTTGAACTAGCCTCCATGTTTGTTTGTAGTCTTATTATCTCCACAATACAAACTAACGTTCAAGTCTTAAGTTTGTTTATATGTGTACTCATAAAGTGTCCTATCTGTAAAAGTCCAAGTTAACACATAGCACACTTTCCGGTTCATTTGAGTGTTATACAAAGCTATTGGCTACGTGCCCATTATCGGACAAGGCCCGCCTCTGTTTTAGTGGCACATTACAAACCTCGTCTAAGAGCTGCTTCATGTCATAAAACAGTTTCATTATAAACATGGAGCACACTTTTATTAGACTTCTTAAAAGTGTTATAACAAAGCAGTCGATATATGTCCGATAACGGATTCACACTCCAAGTGTGAAATGTAACACCCGACTGTAACACCCGTCTGTAACACCCGTCTGTAACACCCGACTGTAACACCCGTCTGTAACACCCGACTGTAACACCCGTCTGTAACACCCGTCTGTAACACCCGACTGTAACACCCGTCTGTAACACCCTACTGTAACACCCTACTGTAACACCCGGCTGGTAACACCCGTCTGTAACACCCGTCTGTAACACCCGTCTGGTAACACCCGGCTGTAACACCCGGCTGTAACACCCGTCTGTAACACCCGACTGTAACACCCGGCTGTAACACCCGACTGTAACACCCGGCTGTAACACCCGTCTGTAACACCCGACTGTAACACCCGGCTGTAACACCCGTCTGTAACACCCGACTGTAACACCCGACTGTAACACCCGACTGGTAACACCCGACTGGTAACACCCGGCTGTAACACCTGTCTGTAACACCCGTCTGGTAACACCCATCTGTAACACCCGTCTGGTAACACCCGTCTGTAACACCCGTCTGGTAACACCCGCTGTAACACCCGGCTGTAACACCCGTCTGTAACACCCGGCTGTAACACCCGACTGGTAACACCCGGCTGTAACACCCGTCTGTAACACCCGACTGTAACACCCGTCTGTAACACCCGGCTGTAACACCCGACTGTAACACCCGTCTGTAACACCCGACTGTAACACCCGTCTGTAACACCCGTCTGTAACACCCGTCTGTAACACCCGACTGGTAACACCCGGCTGTAACACCCGTCTGTAACACCCGTCTGTAACACCCGGCTGTAACACCCGGCTGTAACACCTGGCTGTAACACCCGTCTGTAACACCCGTCTGTAACACCTGGTACACAGCTTTTTAAAATGATGTAAGTTATTCCGACACTGTGTCTGATAATGGAGCCACAGCTCGGCTCGGAGGTTCTGAGGAGCCATTTTAACGCCTTCATGGACAGAACAGAGTCCGCCATGTGCCACGTCCCCCCCGGACTGTTTCTAACATCCACCGCCGGTAAACAACACAACCGGCCGGACACACACGTTTACAGAAGCACTGACAGGAAACCGTTTGATATTAAGTTGTTGGTTTTCCGGGGGAAGTCACCGAGAAATTTCCTATTTTACACGCAGAGAAAAAACTACTTCCACATCCGGTTAACTAACGTTCATCAAGCGCGCGCGTCGTCAACCCGCGTCTCTGAGATCTCACCTGAAACTCCTTCACCTGTATCACCTGTATGTGATGTTTGATTAGAAGAGGACATGAAGAAACAGTGAGTTGTAACGGAGGAGGAAACAGCAGCTTCTTACCGCGCTCAGGTGTTTTAGGATCCAGCAGTTAGTAGTATGCTAACGTTAGCCGCTAGCAGGCTAATCAGGCCGCTCCGTGTGTGGAGGCTCTGTGACCGTTTATCTCTCCCCGTTAACTAATACCGGCTCCGGTGAGTGATCACGGTCATCCTATGTGTTATTAAAAACAGAATTCAGCTCCCGCTGCGGCTCGTCCGGTTTCTCCGGGCTTGTTTACTGCAGAAAGTTAGCGCGAGGCAGCGGCCGTTACATCCCCGGTTGTATGGATGCAGCCTTCAAAATAAGAGCATGCAGTGAGTTCTTTTGCTCTTTTCTGAACACAGATCTGGGGGTCAATTAATTTTAAAGATTTTCAACACACTATAAGCTTTATCAATTTAAATTATTTTCTGATTTTCAGACTTAAGAATTGAATGATTCTATTGTTTGTACTCATTTTCGAACTTGTGAATTAAGATTCATGGATGTGAAATCAGTCAACAATAATCTAAATATGAAGTTGTTAGGGTTAGAGTTAACCCTAAATGTAGGAATTAATATAATTCACATTTAAAAATATACTTTTGTGAAGCTGGAAATAAAAAAATAAATATTTTCAGATGTTTCTTCTTGCTCTGTTTAAAGAACTTCTCACTAAAAGTATTAATTCAGATAAAAATGGAGTGATTGAGTGAAGGTGATGAGGATATAATGGGAGGTGTCTGTATTTGTGTATTTTCAGTTTAAAGTTAATATGTTAAATAAATCAAATGTGTCATTAAAGTGTTATTTTTCCTGAAGAAACCGGTAATATCTTTTGAAATATGACCTTAAAATACTTTCAGAACTAGTGATTGACATTTTAACGTTACCTTTTAAACCACAGGATATTTCTGTTTTATTTTGAAAGTCCTCACAGGAAGTGAGATCTGTTTTGACGCGCGTGTTTAGCAGCTAGTTGTGTTAGCCGTTAGCATGTATGCTAGCAGACTGTTAGCAAGTTGAATTAAAGCGAGTTTTACCTTGTTTTGTTGTTGAGCCACGCGGGTTTACGTCTCCTGACGTAAACGATGTGCTAACAGGTGTTCACCTGCCGACAAATTATTTAAAAATCGTTGTTTTTATGTTTAATGTTGAATAAATATGGCGGCCTCTCGACACCGGAGGTGGAAGTCAGAGTGAGTTAACCTCCCGTGGGCGGGCTCTGTGACGACACTGAGGAACAGACCTGGAGTCAGCGTCAGCTCCAGGATGACGTCATGAGGTGGTACACAGAGCTGACCTGAGATCAGCCTGTAGAAGAGACATGTTCCCGCCTGCAGGGCTCTGAGTGAAACTCCGTTTATTAAAGTCAGAAACACTCTGATTTTATTTAAATATGATTTTATCTCTCTGATATATTTCTGATCTTAAAGGGTGAGTGAATAATTTTAAACTATGTGATGTGTTATGTTCTTTAAAGCATTTTTAATAAATGTATTTGGCTGCTCCGTAATTCCCCACATGAAGTGACTACACGCCATCAGTCCGTTATGGAGACTGGTCCAGGTCCATCTGGATCCTGTGAGGGTTTGGATTGAGTGATTTTATATCATGTCTTCAGTCTTATGAACCCTGAGTCTGTAATAAAGTCTTATGATCACATGTAGACCCCGACCCCTTTCCTCCTGATTCACTGAAAACTGTCGACTCAACGACTAAATGTGATTCTATAGATGTCTGCTGATTGGACCTTAAATACAAACATGTCAACACAAGCACGCCAATAACACAAGTCATCCCATCAATATCAACCACTTTATTTTCTTGTTGGCAGGTGCACATTTTGACAGGTGTACACAGGTAACGTGTACACAGGTAAATGGGTGTACACAAGTAAACAAGTGTGCACAGGTGTACACAGGTAAAGGTGTGTATACAGGTGTACTTTACATTCTGACAGGACGAGGTGGACGTCTTTCGTCCTCGTGTGGCTCCAGTTTGAGACTAGCTCAGCGACATGAGAAATAAATGGAAACATGAATAATCAAGTGAGACGAACAAAAAGGCACAGATGGATAAATAAAATATTTCTTCTCTTATAAATAAATAAATAAATAAATAATGAGTGTTAATGAGACAAACAAATCAGTGTTCCTTCACATAACGTGAAGCAATCTGTTTCATCAAACTGGAACATCGGGGGCTTGATCTGGATCAGGACTCAGGTGTATGGTCTGGATCAGGACTAAGGTGTATGGTCTGGATCAGGACTCAGGTGTAAGATCTGGATCAGGATTAAGGTGTATGGTCTGGATCAGGACTAAGGTGTATGGTCTGGATCAGGACTCAGGTGTAAGATCTGGATCAGGATTAAGGTGTATGGTCTGGATCAGGATTAAGGTGTATGATCTGGATCAGGACTCGGGTAAACACACTCTGTATCCAGGTTCAGGATTGATCTGGATTAAACTGACAGGTGAGGTCGAGGGTTAGGAGTAACAAAATAATGTGACTCACTGCAGACGTTGCGTTCACTGACCTTGGTACGTTTCAGCATTCTTTTGTCTTTAAAGTCGGGTATAAATTAGTGTGTGTCAGTGATTTGGTGGGTTCTCGTGAAATGATCAGAATGATTGATGAGGTGATGATCATCGTCATGGATACAGACAGACTGAGCTGGACTCAGAGGGACTACAATCTAAACCTGAACCAGGATCAGTCTCCATGAAGACTCGTGAAAACAAAGCTCTATGCAGACTGATCGGTGTCAGGCTGATTAGGGGTCAAAGGTCAGGTTGATTAGGGGTCAAAGGTCAGATGATTCCAGGTGAGTCTGGGTCTCACAGCAGCAGGTTGAGGTCAGCCAGCAGAGCGTCCACATCGGCAAGCGGAGCTCTCCAATAGTTGAAGGACGAAAACTCAGACAGACCAACCTGCAGACAGACAGACGGACATTTAGCTTTGTTTAACCCAAACGAGAGACATAAGGTTCATCTTGTTTGGTTGCTATGGAGACATAATGTCCATCTTGTTTGGTTGCTATGGAGACGTAATGTTCATCTTTTGTTACTATGAAGACGTAAGGTTCATCTTGTTTGGTTACCATGGAGACGTAAGGTTCATTTTGTTTGGTTACTATGGAGACGTAATGTTCATCTTTGGTTATCATGGAGACCTAAGGTTCATTTTGTTTGGTTACTGCGTAGACCTAAGGTTCATTTTGTTTGGTTACCATGGAGACGTAAGGTTCATCTTGTTTGGTTACTAAGGAGAAGTAAGGTTCATTTTGTTTGGTTACTGCGTAGACCTAAGGTTCATTTTGTTTGGTTACCATGGAGACGTAAGGTTCATCTTGTTTGGTTACTAAGGAGAAGTAAGGTTCATTTTGTTTGGTTACTGCGTAGACCTAAGGTTCATTTTGTTTGGTTACCATGGAGACGTAAGGTTCATCTTGTTTGGTTACCATGGAGACGTAAGGTTCATTTTGTTTGGTTACTGCGTAGACCTAAGGTTCATTTTGTTTGGTTACTGCGTAGACCTAAGGTTCATTTTGTTTGGTTACTGCGTAGACCTAAGGTTCATTTTGTTTGGTTACCATGGAGACGTAAGGTTCATCTTGTTTGGTTACCATGGAGACGTAAGGTTCATTTTGTTTGGTTACTGCGTAGACCTAAGGTTCATTTTGTTTGGTTACTGCGTAGACCTAAGGTTCATTTTGTTTGGTTACTGCGTAGACCTAAGGTTCATTTTGTTTGGTTACCATGGAGACGTAAGGTTCATCTTGTTTGGTTACCATGGAGACGTAAGGTTCATTTTGTTTGGTTACTGCGTAGACCTAAGGTTCATTTTGTTTGGTTACTGCGTAGACCTAAGGTTCATTTTGTTTGGTTACCATGGAGACGTAAGGTTCATCTTGTTTGGTTACCAAGGAGAAGTAAGGTTAATCTTGTTTGGTTACTACGGAGACGTAAGGTTAATTTTGTTTGGTTACCATGAAGATGTAAAGTTCATCTTGTTTGGTTACTATGGAGACGTAATGTTCATCATCTTTGGTTACCACGGAGACGTAAGGTTCATCTTTGGTTACCACGGAGACGCAAGGTTCATTTTGTTTGGTTACTATGGAGACGTAAGGTTCATCTTGTTTGGTTACTATGGAGACGTAATGTTCATCTTTGTTATCATGGAGACGTAAGGTTCATCTTTGGTTACCATGGAGACGCAAGGTTCATCTTGTTTGGTTACCATGGAGACGTAAGGTTCATCTTTGGTTACCACGGAGACGCAAGGTTCATTTTGTTTGGTTACCATGGAGACGTAAGGTTCATCTTGTTTGGTTATTATGGAGAGGTAAGGTTCATCTTGTTTGGTTACTACGGAGACGTAAGGTTCATTTTGTTTGGTTACTAAGGAGACGTAAGGTTAATTTTGTTTGGTTACCATGGAGACGTAAGGTTCATCTTGTTTGGTTACCATGGAGACATAAGGTTCATCTTGTTTGGTTACTATGGAGACGTAAGGTTAATTTTGTTTGGTTACTATGGAGACGTAAGGTTCATCTTGTTTGGTTACTATGGAGACGTAAGGTTAATTTTGTTTGGTTACTATGGAGACGTAAGGTTCATCTTGTTTGGTTACTAAGGAGACGTAAGGTTAATTTTGTTTGGTTACTATGGAGACGTAATGTTCATCATCTTTGGTTACCACGGAGACGTAAGGTTCATCTTTGGTTACCACGGAGACGTAAGGTTCATTTTGTTCGGTTACTTCAGAGTGTGCAGCGGTAGGGAGCTTTACTGGCGCCAGGTGGGCGGTTCCATAAGCGCGTGACGTCAGGTGAAACGAATTAAAGATATTTCAGGAAGTGGAGATGATGTTCTGAATCTCAGCACTGACATTAAGAACATCATCATCCCTCCCACTCCTGTCTCACTCCTGCCTCACCTCCTCGTCTTGACCCCTCAGCGAGGACGACTTGTCTTTTCCTTTGCTGCTATTGGTCGGCTGTCTGTCAGTCAATCCCAGGTCCTCCAGCTCTGACAGGTCGAGTGACGGGATTGGCTGCCTCCAGTACAGGAAGGAGTCATATTGGCTGTTTGATTTCTCCATCATGATTCAATCTGGGAATCACAAACACACAGTCAACACCTGCCTGAAAAATAAACATGACGAAAAACATTTCATGAAGCATAAAAACATTTCATGAAGCGCAAAAACATTTCATGAAGCGCAAAAACATCTCATGAAGCGCAAAAACATCTCATGAAGCACAAAAACATCTCATGAAGCGCAAAAACATTTCATGAAGCACAAAAACATCTCATGAAGCGCAAAAACATCTCATGAAGCACAAAAACATTTCATGAAGCGCAAAAACATTTCATGAAGCGCAAAAACATCTCATGAAGCATAAAAACATTTCATGAAGCATAAAAACATTTCATGAAGCGCAAAAACATTTCATGAAGCGCAAAAACATCTCATGAAGCACAAAAACATTTCATGAAGCGCAAAAACATTTCATGAAGCGCAAAAACATCTCATGAAGCGCAAAAACATTTCATGAAGCACAAAAACATCTCATGAAGCGCAAAAACATCTCATGAAGCACAAAAACATTTCATGAAGCGCAAAAACATTTCATGAAGCACAAAAACATTTCATGAAGCGCAGAAAACATCTCATGAAGCACAAAAACATCTCATGAAGCGCAAAAACATTTCATGAAGCACAAAAACATTTCATGAAGTGCAAAAACAAAAACATCTCAATGCGCATAAATACATTTCAGAATCAGAATTTTTTTTTTATTTCCAAGTAAACTCACACACAACATTTCATGAGACAAAAACATTTCTTCAAATGCAAACATGTTTTTGAATGTGAAGGTTTTTTTGTTTCATGTTTTTTTCAGTTGACCTTTAAGGCCACCGTACTCAGATCTGTAGTTGAAATCAATGTTTTTTAGGCTGGCTGATAATGAGATGTGTCTAATATTAAACTCTGTGCAGATTTAGAAAGTGGGTCAGTGTCGCCTCAGCACACTGAAATAAACCTGCAGCCATTACTGACCCCCACTCAAACCATACTACATTCTTTTAGCTGTCAGCTGTTTTCCTCCTGATCGACCTTTATTGATCCTGAGGCGTTGTCCCTGATTGTCCCTGGTTGGCCCTGATTGTCCCTGGTTGGCCCTGATTGTCCCTGGTTGGCCCTGATTGTCCCTGGTTGGCCCTGATTGTCCCTGGTTGGCCCTGGTTGGCCCTGATTGGCCCTGATTGTCCCGGATTCTCACCGGCTGTTCGTCTTTGTTTTAATGGACACATTAGAAATAGATTTTAAAATATAAGCACGTTATGAATGTTGTAGTTCATTCTGTTAGAAGGTGCTTCAGTTATCATCGCTCTCAATGATCTGGCTGAATCAGAGGCGTTGGCCCGGCTCGGCTCGGCCTGGCTCGGCTCATGAGCAGAAGAAGATGCAGCCGATTCAGACAGAATTGACTCGATTAAACATTTAGATTTCTATCGTGAATGAGGATTCATGTTGGTATTCTGACATGTAATAAGGCTGTTCTTGTTTTTTGGCAGCAGGTTCATCATGACCGGCTTCTCCTCAAAGAACGAACACAAATGTGAAGATTGACATAAACTGACCGGATGTGAATAAAAGAGATTACCTGTGTGTTTCCGGTGATCAGAGATGAAACCTTTCGCGTGTTTCTCTTCTTTATTCGTTTGTGTCTCTTTTGTTGCAGGAGGTTCAGTCTCTGCTGCTCAGCTGCTGCAGCTTAAAACAGCTCTGCGCCTGCGTCAAGCTCACCCGAATACACACGAAGACTTCCGTTTTTACGTTTCAAAATAAGAGCAGAGAAGCGCGCCGTACTTTTTTCCCCTTCCATTGAAGTGATCAGACTAAAATCACTCGAGTTGTGTCTGAAATCAAAAGTTAGACTGAGCCGGAGAGCAGAAGCTTCTCCAAGTCCCGTTTACTGAACTTTATCACCACATGTGACGTTTCTGGCCCTCGCCCTTCATCAGACGAGTTATGAAACACACCTCAATACAACCTTTAATTACTTACCATGATTATTTTTCATTTCTATTGTCCATGACCTCTGACCTGTCAGGTGACCTCAGAGATTCTATATATGGAGGTGTGTTTCATCACTGGTTGATAAAAGTGAAGTGGAGCAGCTTCTCAGTCTAACTTTTGATTTCAGACCACAGACTGTAAAAACCTTTGAAGCCTGAGTGACCCGTCTGTCCCTGCAGGGGGCGCTGGAGTCCCATCGATGGCGTCCCCCGTCTGTCCCTGCAGGGGGCGCTGGAGTCCCATCAATAACGTCCTCCGTCTGTCCCTGCAGGGGGCGCTGGAGTCCCATCGATGGCGTCCCCCGTCTGTCCCTGCAGGGGGCGCTGGAGTCCCATCAATAACGTCCTCCGTCTGTCCCTGCAGGGGGCGCTGGAGTCCCATCGATGGCGTCCCCTGTCTGTCCCTGCAGGGGGCGCTGGAGTCCCATCGATGGCGTCCCCCGTCTGTCCCTGCAGGGGGCGCTGGAGTCCCATCAATAACGTCCCCCGTCTGTCCCTGCAGGGGGCGCTGGAGTCCCATCGATGGCGTCCCCCGTCTGTCCCTGCAGGGGGCGCTGGAGTCCCATCAATAACGTCCCCCGTCTGTTCCTGCAGGGGGCGCTGGAGTCCCATTGATGGCGTCCCCCGTCTGTCCCTGCAGGGGGCGCTGGAGTCCCATCAATAACGTCCCCCGTCTGTCCCTGCAGGGGGCGCTGGAGTCCCATCAATAACGTCCTCCGTCTGTCCCTGCAGGGGGCGCTGGAGTCCCATCAATAACGTCCTCCGTCTGTCCCTGCAGGGGGCGCTGGAGTCCCATCGATGGCGGTCTCCATGCTGGAAATGCTGTCTCAGTCTAACTTTCAGTCAACCTAACGACAGGCTGAGAGCTGGAGCTGAGGCGGGTTTTAAACCTCCTGACAAACCGTTACACCGCGCCCACCTGTCAATCAGGTCAGCTACACGCCTTATTGTGAATAACTCTTATCCTTCATCAAATCAAAACTGATGAGTCATCAAAACATTCACCCCCCCGTACAGTGTGTGTCCATCCAGACATGAGCTAATCACACCTATTTGGTTTTTTGAACCAGGCTGTAAACATGTTCATCTCTGCTGTAAAAACAGGCTTTTTAGAATGGGTGTGTATGTGACTTCCTGTGCTTCTGTAGTCAGCCTCTAGTGGACACTCCAGGAACTGCAGGATTTTTACACTTCAGCACCGGCTTCATGTTTCAACACAGGAAGTCGCTGATTTCTCAAAATGTGAACATTTTGCAAAGACAGTAAACCTCCCTAAGGGGGCCCCGTCTGACAGGTCTGAGTGGGAGTGATTTAATTTTCTGTTTTTTATTGTTCTCTTTATATTTGAACACTTTTTGTTGGTTTCAGATTATTTCTAACACTTAGGGGATGAACGCTGGTTGGACGGTCAAGAGAGAAGTCTGCTGCCTTCAGGAACACAGTGATGTCACCACAATGTCAACATGATGTCACTGTGCTGTAATGAGACAGAACAGCCAGCAGGAGGAGCTGTTTGACTGAAAATAAACAGGAGGGGAAGGTGGAAGGAAAAAGAGAAGAAAAAGTCCTTCAGAGAAAAAAGGGAGGGTGGATTTCCTGGTTGGAGCCACACCTCAGAGAGAGCGAGAGAGAGAGAGAGAGAGCTGCTTCAGGATCTCAGTCTGCAGATTTCAGCCTGACGCTCGGTTGGTTTTCTGTCTCTGGTGAGTCTTCTTCTTCTTCTGTTTTTAATCAGCTCAAACTGGAACCTGCAGGTTTAACCTTCACACCTCCTGCTGTGTTTGATGTTTAGGTATGGACAGACCTCTCACTCTGTCACTCATTAACACAGATTCATGTTCAGGGACTTCATGTGACTGAGTGAGGGAGCAGAGAGGGAGTGGACGAGCTGTGTCTGAACATGAACGGGACATTTAGAGTGAAATCATCATTTATCATTTCAAGATGGAAACGTAATGTTTCATTTATAAATATATATCAAAAATAAAAGTCTGCTCAGAGACACACCGGTGTTACACTGTTTTCTGCTTCCTGTCACATTCTGTAGCCTGCTTTGTGATTTCAGGATTGATGAAATGTTAAAGTGTGTTTCCTCTCTAAATGAAGAGTTAGACAGATGAATGTTAGCAAAACTCAACGCCATGTGGCGTTTAGTGACAGCAACAAACATGTTCATCAGATAAACTTTATGTGACAAGATCTTAAACAATTCCAGGAGGTGGTTAGCTTAGCTTAGCATAAAGACTGGAAGCAGAGGAAAAACAGCAACTTCAAAAAGTCATGTGTTAAATATGTATTCTGCCTTTTATGGCACTAGCATAGCGTTAACGATATCTAGCTTATCTAATAGCATGTTAGCTAACGAGCAAATAAGATGACCAGAGGAACGTCTCAACTTTTTAATAATTACTTTTGTTCTCTGTTTCTCCAGAAGTCTGATGTTTCTGATCACTTCAGTTTATCTCTATGTGATTTAGATCCAGATTAGCATAGCTTAGCATTAAGACTCAAAGCAGAGTCAACCTGCTAGCATAGCCACATCAAAACTTTCAAAGCAAACTCTACAGATGTCTTTATTTTTCTATGTAATGATCAGTATTCTGTTATATTTAAGCTAACATTTAGAACGCTAACGTCCATTTCTGTCAGTTAAAAGCTGTTAAACTTACAAACTTCAATTTCAATAAATCAAAAATGTCAAGATATCAAATCATGTTTGTAGCTGGTTAGCTAACTTACAACTGAGGGAAACCTCTGAGATACATTCGCAGAGTTCACAACTCTTTCTTTATGT